AATAAAACTGCACTTACCACAACTTTGCAATTTGATCAATTAGCAACCATCATAGGTACTTCACTTTATTAGTTTTTTTATATTCTTAACCATTCCATTCCAACCCTTTTTATCTCAACCTATTAAAGCATTTGGTGCACAACAATATTCAGCCAACAACAAAAAAAATCTTCAACCTATCTAGATCATGTAAAGGTACGGTGACAAACAACTATAATTTTTGGAATCTAGATAAGACAAAGTGGCCTCCAATAGCTAATCAACACAATAATAGTATTAGGAATATACATTAGTCACGTACAGGTGTTGGATATAACATATCAAAAGAATAACCAATAAAATAGAAAAGAAGTAAGCATGAACAAAAACTACATGGAAAAGTAAACAAACAGTGAGATATTCATTTCACTATGGATATCTTTTTTATTTGGTAACAAAGGGAGGGGCTTTAAGTTCTTTTTGAACTGTAAGGAGGAGTAATAGAAACTCACCTTGCTTGAAGCGTGAATCACCTTATCACCACCAAGTAGTTTTCCTTGCTCTCTTTCTGTTTGGAACCTTCTATTTCCTAAATTTTGTTGTGTGTACCTCCCTTTGGCTTCTAACTTTTTAGGATAAAAACAAAAAAATTGGAATTGTTGGTTTATTTTTTTTTTTGAACACAAAATATTTTTGTCACTTCAATGTTTTCTTTGTATCCCTAGTATGTGATTTAGCAAGCATATGAAGTTGGTGTATGAAGATAAAAATCTCTGGTAATGTTGATCACTCAAAACTTTTTTTTTTTTTTTCGTGTTTCTCCTATGGTCGCCTTTCAGTGTTTGTTCCTCTCTTTTTCTCTTCTTGCGGAACCCAGCCAAAAAAAGTCCCCTACCAATCGAAGTCTCTCTCCTAATTATAGAATAACCTCTCCTGCTTTTTTCTGATTTTTTTATTTTCTTCCTGAACATGGCTCCCCAGTTTTTTCTTATCCTGAACATTATTTCCTGAACGCTGCTCACGTGGGATTATTTGAAAACATTCCAACTTGATTGACAAGGGCGGTGAGGGAAGGCGGTTGATGAATCCCACATAAGGGGGTTATTGTTGTAACAACCAAAGAAACCGGTAATTTTTTTTTTTTTTTTGGGGGTTTACAACTAAAAAACAAGGGTTCGGTGTTTGTCATTTTAAATGACATAAGTTATATCATTTTAGGAGAAAGATGGACACAGAAAAATGAAAATCATGGGAGAGAGAAAGTGAGTGGTTTTTTTTTAATTAAATAAAAATTTTCTATGTGTCTGTCTCTCTTTTAGAGTGTTACTAGTGAATTACTCGTGCCGATGCACGGGAAAAAAAATTGGTTTGTTTGGCATGGTGGGTCGGCCCTTCGGGCCGAACTCATTTTGTCAGTATTTCAAAGTTCACAAACATTCATTTTTTTAAATAACAAAACAATCATTCATTGTTACATTAAAAATAGGAAAGAAAATAGGATAATAAAGGTCATATCTTTGAAGATAGATAAGAAAAAGAGACGCGAATAAACAGTCGTTTTTTTTGTCTTTACCTGTACCATACAACGAAGTTATATCTTTGAAGAAAGAACCCAATATACTATAGCAGTCTTTGAAATACTTCCTTGTAAACTATATTAAGGGTACTATTCGTAACGCAGCCATTTTCATCAAGTATCAATATCTTCAATCCATGCTTACTCTTTACTCTAGACAGTGCCACATATAATTGCCCATGAGTGAAGACAGGCTTAGGGAGATAAATTGCAACATGTGAAAGTGATTGTCCTTGACTCTTGTTGATAGTCATGGCAAACGATACAATCAGGGGGAATTGTCTTCTTTGGAAATTTACAGGAAATGTATGACTCGATGGGCTCATCGTCATTCTAGGGATTAACACAGTTTCCCCTATATTGCTTCCTGTAAGTACAATTGCCTCAACAACATGATTCCCTAATTTTGTAATAAGCAATCTCGTGCCATTGCATAAACCTCTCGACTGATCAATATTTCTTAATAGCATTACTGAAACTTTAACTTTCAAGATTAATTTATTATCAGGAATCCCTGAGCATGATAATGTATTTAAGATCTCAGGGGTGATTTCGTCATCCTCAACAGAGGAAGTCCCACCTTGCTTAAGAATTTTATCCGAACTCAAAAAAGTCCTTTCTTCACCAGGAATCATAGACATTAGGTGCTCGTTTAGCATAGCAACATCGGACAATTTAGGAGTTAGAATGGCACGTTCTTTAAAGAAGGTCTGATCCAAAATATTATCCTAGAGATTCGGATAAACAAAATTAACCATATCCGACAGCGGATCTTCCGATTCTCTAATCAACAATTCATCTGGAATTGTTATAATAGATTCTCCATCAACATCATCTCCAAGATTACCATCCCCAACTTTAAGTAGCCACTCAGAAAATTCTTTTATTTCCTCTAAATTGTGAGCGCTACTTCCAGAATTAAGACGCATGTTCTTGGTCAAAGTTAATAAATGACAATGGGACCATAGATGAGAAGAATTGATGGTTGCATGAACTACTCCAGAATTAAGACGCATTATTCTTCGACGTCAGTGATTGCTTCTCTGTTTTTTCTTCTTACACAAAATATGAGTTCAAAATATGATTTTCTGAAGGATGTTAATCCTGCCAAGGAGGACTGGAGGATTAAGGTGAAGGTGGTTCGGACTTGGAAAGTTCCTAACTTTCAGCGTAAAAGAGTGATTCAGTAGTTATAAATGAGATTTTCATGGAATAAAACAGTCATTTGTTTTAATAACAACGAATATCCCATTTTTTTTTTTTTCAAAAAACGTAAAGATTTGAATTAAACTGAATAAAGGTTAAAAAAAACGATTAGATTACATGATCAACATCAATTATTTAAAAAATAAAGATGATGACAAAAGAGTGATTTAGTAGTTATAAATGAGATTTTCATGGAATAAAACAGAAGTTTTTTCTAATAACAAAACACTCATACCTGATTCCACTGAATCAAGAGATTAATAAAAGATTCAAATTTAAAAATCTGAAAATAAGGAACAAAGGTCGGGATATGTATATATATATATTTTTTTACTAATTAATTTTTTTCGAGTAAATAGAATTGTATTCTTTAAAAAATGTGAAGTTTTTGAATTAAACTGAATAAAGATTTAAAAAACAAAGATAACGATAAATAGTGATTAAGTAGTTATAAATCAATGAATATCCCGTTTTTTAACAGTCATTTCATGGAATAAAACAGTCATTTATTTTAATAACAATGAATATCCTTTTTTTTTTTCAAAAAACGTAAAGATTTGAATTAAACTGAATAAAGGTTAAAAAAACGATTAGATTACATGATCAACATCAATTATTTAAAAAACAAAGATGAAGACAAAAGAGTGATTTAGTAGTTATAAATCAATGAATAAGCAATCTTGACCATTGATTTAAAGTAACAAATCCTGTCAATTGAAAATATAATTCTTTTTTGTATTTATTATATTCACCGATTTACCATTAAAGGAAACTTTTTTAAATGTTGTAGTGTGAACACAATGGTGAAATTGAACCACAGTGCGACACGTCAGCAAGGTTTTCACAGAATGAAATTCCTTTATAATATAAGATATCATTTAAAATGATAAACACTTTTCCCAAAAAATAAACATAGAAATATTACTAATAAAAAAAAAAACTAGAGACTAGATGAAAGAAGGTAATTTACTGAATAAATTTTACTTTTATATATATATATATATAGGAAAAATATTTCTCAAGGAGCTTGATATAAGTTTATTTCTGGCCACCCCAAAACTACGACGTTTTATTTATTTATTTCCTTATACTAATTTATTCACTTTTGAATGATTATGATTCCTTTTTTCTCTCTCTTCCTTTATCACTATTGATCCATCTTTGTACGATTATGATTTAGTAGCCGAAGATAAAATTACCTCAAGAAGCTTAAGAAATGATAAGCCCTATATATATATAGGAAAAAATATTTCTGCAGTTAATGTAGATAAGTTATCTGCATTTATTCCCAAAACGATGTTGTTTTGGTATTGAAATTTTAAAAAATTATAAATATAAAGACTATTATAACCCTGAAATAAATTAAAATTACAAAAACACTATGATTTCCGCCCCAAACGACATCGTATTGAGCTTACTGCAGATAACTTTTCTGCAGTAACGGCAGAAAAAACGAACCCATATACATATATATATATGGATTTAATGTTTCAAAAGTGAACGTAAATAAGTTATCTATATTCACTCCCAAATCGACATCGTTTTGGGTTTAAAAATTAAAAAATTATGATAAAAAGACTGTTATAACCCTGAAATAAATTATAATTACAAAAATATCTTGATTTCCTCATCAAAACGACGTCGTTTTGAGTTCACTGTAAATAAGTTATCTACATTGATGGTAGAAAAAGCGAACTCATATATATATATATATATATATTGTATGTGAGGACAAAATTGAGTGGTTACAGATATGATGGTAGCAATGCCATTAAACTCGGATTGGTAATCGGCTAGGTTGAGAAACTGGGTCACCGGATCAACCAATGAATCATTGAACCAGTTGAATTATATATATATATATATATATATATATATATATATATATATATATAATTAGAAATATCATAACCAACAGATAAAGTTGGTCTAGTGGTAGTTCAACTCCCAACCCCCGCACTTTTCAACCAGTCCGATCCAGTGAATATTCTTACTTTTAGCCAATAGTTTTGGTATCTCTACAAAAATCACCTAAAATTATTTTGGGGGTGAATATTTCAAACAGAAAACTTATTCTACAAAAAAAATGAAAGAAAGAAGAAAGCCTTATTATACTGATAGAGCCTTCTTGAACAAAGAGAGCAGGAAAGAGGGGGTATCAAATACACTTGTGAAAAGGCATCAACAATTTATTGTTCCATCCTAGGGGCATTAACATGGTAGCAATTCCTGTGGGAGTATAATTTTTCATAATCTAAAGCTTAAAAATTTGAGACAGTCATTATTACAAGTACAACACATCTGGAGTAAACTGAAAATGCTAACATAAGCAACCAAATCAGAATCCCCATGAAAGCGAGAGGGATGCATTTTTCTAATAATATCTACACAATCTTGACTTCAGCCTAATGTAGATGGAGGTAGAAAACTATAAATATGCACTTTAGAAGGTTAATTGCTGCAGCTCTCTAAGTCAGTACAATTATATTATACAAAAACTGCTGCTAGATTCTCATGCAGCATAACTTACAAACTGAAGCTCTTCGCTTTCATCAATGATAAACTTGGGAAAGAACCTATGATGGGAACAGCTGCAAGTCACCTACAAGAGTGTCCATGTAAACTACAGTCCAACAATGGGCCTCATCACTAGCATAAATAATGAAAACTTCCCTCAGCGCAGTCATTTGCAAATACCATTTTTTCTTTTGACAGAATCACTGACAATCAATCACAAGCTATTGGACACTCAGTGTTGCAACTTGCAAACCAATATACAGTGTAGGAAGTGCTCCAAGAGTAGAGGGAGGAAATAGAGTACTGTGATGCCACTGCTAAGTTAAACGTTGTGAGATGGTTGCCCAATTTCAGCATAGAAAAAGAATGGTGCATATAGATTGAGCAATAGGTCATGCAAGGCTAAAATATACAAGACTAAGAAGAGAATGGAGTCATTGGTCCCAATATTCAGGGAGAATATCTAAAGAAGGAACGAGAAATCCTCGCCTCACAGCGGCTTTCCCGTTTGCTATCTTTGCACTGGGGATAAACATCTGATCAGATTTATTTTCAGATTGCCCTCTGGGACTATGGGGTTTATCCTGCCAACAGAAGAAAATTTAATACCAAACAGCATGGTTTGAAAAATACAAATATAAAAGGAGAAAAATACTTATATTTACCATGAAACTTGTTCCATTGTACTGCTGAGTGGGAGATAAAACATCTGGTTGTTGTGAGTTTTTCAAAAATCGATGTTCTAGTAACACTGCAGCAGACGGTCGCTCTGCCGGATTTCTTTTAAAGCAGCACCTCAGGAAATCTTTACCCTCAGATGACAATGTTTCAGGTATAGGAGGGGTATCTCTCATAACCTTGAACATAGCTGCAGCCTGTATAATTTGGATGACAATTTTAGAAGTTAAGAAAGGAAGGACCTGTGTACTCACAGCATCTCTGCTGAATCCACAAGCTGCAAACAGAAAAAGTTTGCATAAAGGTGCTTTATGCTGGCTGTTAAATTGAGTTTTACCAAACTTAAATAATGTTTTGCCAATTATTGGGGATCTATAACCTACGAGAAATCTTATACTATATGGTTACTGAAGTAGCCTGGGAATAACAAATCAAAAAAGACATAAGAGAATTTTCTGCAGGCTCTTACTCCTTCATACTCGCTCCAAGGAGGCTTCCCTGTGAACATTTCAATGATTGTACAACCCAAACTCCAAATATCAATAGCAAAAGCTAGATCAGAGCTGTTATCCTTTTGCATCACAGCCTGCAAAAGCTGTATGAGAATTGAAGTGTTAGTAAGTAATTAATGTAAGAGACAGCACAGAGTAATGTAGAGTAAGAATGTACCTCTGGAGCCATCCAGTACGGACTTCCCTTCAAAGAAAGATTAGCTTCATATCCAGTTAGCTGCGGAACATAGAGATTCCAAGTTATTCTACCCGAATGTAAGGATTATATGATCAAATCAAGTGTATCACAATGGCAGCAAATAACCACTAGCAATACAATCATGGTAGTGAAATAAAAAAAATAAATAAATCTAGACACAAATAATTCTATGCCACCAAGGATTCAAACCGATGTTCAGATTAAACTTAAAGAAGCACCTTATTTCAACAGCACATAATAAACACCAAATCCTAAAGATACATATTCAAGTAATGAAAACGGATGAAATGCCTGATGTTATGCAAGAACCTTATTTAGAAACAACGGAATGATCTGCTTTAAGGGTTAATAAAATTGCTGATCTCAACCAAGAGAAAATAATTTTGATAACTACAAGTTTGAGCCTTTCAATTAAACCAGTATTTTTAAAGCCATTTTTTCCGGGAATTTTTCAACAGTAGATAGATAATCATTAACAACTAGAAATACAAAGAATCAATGAAATGACAGAACCATTCTTTGCATGAAACAAGGACTAAGACCACAAAATAAGTAAATTACAGAGGGGGAGACTTAGAACTCACATGCTTAGCCATCCCAAAATCAGCAAGCTTAACAACACCAGCAGAATCGACAAGCAAATTGGCCCCTTTGATGTCCCTATACACAAACATGAAAAGGGAAAAAAAATGTGACCCAAAGCTCCAAATCCGAACTTGATTAAAAATCCTAGAAAACAATCTTTTTCCACCAAAAAAAATAAAATAAAATAGTTGCATACATATCAATTTATGGATTCGAGTGCAAGCTAGCATGAAGCATTTCAAGCATGTGACTGTACCTATGAATTGTTTTTTTGCTATGCAAGTAAGCCAACCCCGAAAGAATATGGCGAGTGAAATTCCGAATGACAGATTCTGTTATGGCTCCACAATGCTCATGGACATATTTATTAATTGAACCGGGATGAACGTATTCCAGATAAATATAAAACCGGTCTTCAACCTGAATACATATACCCAAAGATATTAGAAGGTTTTGAGGCTGTTATATAAATAAATGATTAATCTTGGGCACCTAATTATGAAATAGGAGATTGCTTACTATTTCACAGCCATAATACTGCACGATGTTTGTATGTTTTAGATGGCTAAAAACTTTGATTTCCTGATAAAAAGAGAGTATAGATTAGTAAGAAGGGTAAAGAAACCTTCATAATGAATTAGGGGAAGATAAAATATATAGCCAAACCATTAAAGATATAAAGCAACCTCACTAAGTATTTAAGTATAATGGACACTGCAATGAAAGTTAGGAGTTGTCACTGGAAAATGTATGATATCAGCAAAAGCATAGTAGCAAGCAAATAGGTAAAATAATAGACCAGTTAAATCTGTATTGAGCTACTTGTCTGCCTAGCAAGGAAAATTATTTTTGATAACCAAGTATTACAATTATAAAGCATCAGTATTAGTTACTAGAAGTTTCATGATAAAACATTTCAGAAGAAAATTTGCTAAGTAGAATTATAAGATAATCTTAATCACACACCCATCAGTTTCCGATGTTTATGTAATTGAAATCTCATCCAAGATTGGAAAGAAAATTACTACCCCAAAGAAATTGACAATGATATTTTCCACCCTGAGGTCTATAGTGAGTAACCAAATTTCAAGTAACAAAAGTGTACCTCAAAAAACACAGAAACATAATATACCAGATAGCACATTTTACACAATTTGTAAATCTTATACAGATGACAAATAAACAGTGATAACTAACAAGTAATGGATAACCAACCTGCTGTAACTGCTTCATACACTCTGCAGATTTTGGATCATCAGGATATAATTCCACTTCCTTCATTGCACATAATGCTCCAGTTTCTCTGTCAAGACGCAACAGTTGTTTCAGAACCTTTGAAGAGAAACAATAGAAGAGCTTAAAATACTTATGATTTACGAAACTTTTATATACCTATTGGTGGCAACATAAACACTTCCAAATGTGCCGCGCCCAATAAGTTTCCCTTTTTTCCACTGGCTTTTCATTGGCAATGCCACAGCATGGGAAAGAGTAGCCGCAGCAGATGGTGAAGGCAAGGCTGCCCCAGGAGGCAAGGGTAAGGGGTGAACACTGACAGGAGCATTACTTTCGCGACGTGCGGTTGAGATCTCAAGGGATAGCAAGGTATGTATGGTTGATGGAGGTCCACTTGAGCTCCTAAGGTGTCCCTGGGGACCTCTTACCTGTGGACTTTGATGGGGAGGTGGAGAAGCATTAGTGCCTAATGTTGATAAATCAAAGAATGCAGGAGGTGGTAACCCGGCTTCAGAGGTTGACATCTCTGGTGCAGACCAGCATTGTTTTCCTCCGGGAGTCACATAATAATATGGCACAAAATCACCATTTCTCTTTCTCTGTGGACTGATTGAAGGACTGGCAAACGGACTACTCGAAGCACTCCTAACCTGGACGCAATCTCGAGTATTCTCAGAACCACCAAGATCTTGATGCACCAACCTTGATGACCTAGTTTCAGCCTGCTCCATATTCTTTCTTGTATCTGGGCTTGCAAAAACACTGCAGCAAGATTTCAGGCAAATGTTAGCAAGAAAACACCACACATTGGAGTTAGTAAACTAAATTGAAATCTCTCCCTCAAATATATGGCAAGGTATAATACAAAACTACAAATGCATAATTAATTTCTCCTAGTCAGAACACAGTAAAATTACAAGTCAGTAAATCAACAATGTTAATCACATAATGCCACCTAAGTCCATAGCATCAGCATTGAAATGTTTAAACCTCAAAAAGTTCATTGTCACAAGCATAAAATATATATCCTATGATCCTAACTAAGACATAAAAAATAAAAAATGAAGGAATGATGATAGATAGTAATAATCAAATTCATTAACTTGCCAACAATAAAACATGTGGGAAATGAAGAAACCACTGAAAAGAAGAAGAAGAGAAAAAATAAATAAATAAATAATTGACCTCCGCATACGAAAGCCGGTAGGCGAGGGCAGACGGGAATCACCATCTCTGTGGCGGAGCAAGGCGGCGGAGGAGAATTCCGGCAAGGGCAAGGGGTGAGGCTCGACGGAGGAATGGGGGGAAGGGACGAGGGCGTCTTCGTCGGAGAAGTGTCCCCTGGCATCGTGATCGCCGACGTGGCGGGTGCGCTTCTTGTCGGAGGAGTTCCCGAAGAGCCAGACCTTCCTGCGGTGGTCGACGGTGGCGGAGGAGGAGGAAGAAGAAGAAGAAGAAGAATGAGAAGGGGAGAAGGAAAGGGTGGGTAACCAACGCATGGCTATGACCCTATAGAAACGGAATCAACATTCATTCACAATGATGTTTCTGAATCGCTATTTGAAGAGCATAAATGTCAATGGAAACAAGACCCATTTTTTGTGATTAGCGGTTCTAGAAAACAAAGACTGGTTCTTTTAATTGTTTTACTTTGTGGGTCGATATGATGACACACGAAGAAGAAGAAGAACAAAAGCCACTCTCAAACAAAAGCACCTTTTCTCTTCTCCTAACCAAGTCAAGGTCTCTCTCTCTATATATATGTAGAAAGAAAGAGAGAGAACTTAAGTTTAAGGTTTTATTTTTATTTTTGTCCATTTTAGATAAAACAGTTATTTTATAAACAGAACGAGTGTTACATATGGTAGTTGTGCTATTTTAGATACGCTAGTTATGAGCTTAGTTTTCCCGCCAGATAATAAGCTAACACCATCCCTTATTAACTAACAAGTAACAGCACTCATGTTTTTCAGTTTCGTTTTCTTATCATGTTTAAGCTGTATAATTTGTATCATCATTTGTTGTTATATGATGATCTACCTATGTTGTTCTTGTTTTTCTTCGTAGAAATTAGGATTGGCAAAACGGGTCAAGCTGCCTCGACCCAGTCCAACCCGCATGCAATTCCAAAAAAACGAGTTGGGTTAGAGTTGGCTCGAAAAAAAAAATGAATCAGAAAACCCAATTCAACCCAACTTGAGTCGGGTTAGGGTTGACTCGCGGCTTGGCTAAAAAATATAGCTCGTGGGTTTGTTTGAAAAAAATAGCTTGCAAGTTGACTCGAAAATTGGATCGCGGGTTGGCTCGAAAATTGCTTGCTGAAATGAACCTATAATATTAATGCACGACTTATGTGGCTTCCATCAGCTTAAACAAAGGGTTACAAAATGATAAATAAAAACAAAATATTCTAATTTCGAATTTTCTTCGCAACAAATTTGCACTAATATAAAAAAACAATCAGAATCACTTGCTACCAAGTGGATAAGATATTTGAATCAAACAGAGCTATATAAAAATCACTTGGGAAGATTAAGGACTTAGATTTAGAGAAGTAAGAAAGATGATGACAACGTGTGTAGATTTTGTCTATTTTTGTATATTATATTTTATATTTTTTTATACAAAAAAAAAAAATCTCAACCGGGAGCTGATCCGTTTAACTCGCGGGTTGATTCTTTTTTTTCGAGCTAGCTCGAGTCAGATTGACAACTTATTTTTATCAACCCAACCTGATTTATTTTTTATGAATTATGAGCCAACCCGTCGGATTCGCTCGTTTTTGTGACCCTAATATAAACATAGACATAATTCTATGTGGTTTGTGTAAATGACTTTTTAAGTATTTGAATGATGAATGCTGTGGAATTATGGAGTTTGAAATTCTTGACGGAGTGAGAAGACGGTTACCAAGAAAAATAAATCATTTTATTTCATTATTGGATTGGATTCAAGAGGTACTGAAGCGATGTTAATTTCTTATCCATGATTGCGTTCTTCTAGATGGATTGCACTGTAATATAAAATATTGCTATAGATTTGATTACCTGTGAACTAGCATTGAGTCATTTACACTCGGGCATTTTAATGTTAAGAAATTAGATTAGATGCGTCTTTTCATATCACGTCATTGATTTATAAAAAGAATAATTGGACACATGCTTGAATATTGAATGTCGACGTTAGTTGGAAACTATTTATACCTCGACTTTTTATTTTATCGTCCAAAGTTTTAAAATATGTTAATTTACACAACCTAAGAATATTCCATCCTCTCTCTATATATATATATATATATATATATATATATATATATATATATATATACTTTTTTTTTGTAAAGAAATAAAGAATAACGCTAAAATCATTATTTTGCTAAAATCATTATTTTAAACATATTTCTCAAGATAATTTTTTATTAACATATTTTAAAATTAAGGGCCCATAATTTATAATATTCCTAAGATTATGTGCTCACTGTTAAAAAAATATAATACAAAATTATAAAATATATTATAGAATTTCTTAACACGTGCAAATGAACTTATACATTATTCATCCTATAAAATCTAAACTTTTGTGCGAGAGAACATATTAAAAAAATATAATAAAAAACCTTCTGTGTGTTGAGGAAATCTATGGGAATATAGGCTATGAACTAGCTCGAATGTTTGTTCCTCATAAAGAAAAAAAAAATTATAGGAGTAATTTTTTATGAAAGGCTCCCAATTCTAACTTTTGAGTTATTTTAAAAAATGCATACGCTACTAAAAATATATTTATACAAATAATTATTTGATAATTAAAATATTTCTAAATATATTACTTTTAAAATACATTGATATATAAATTTTTTATTTTAAAATTTATTAAAAAATAAGTATTTGTCATTTTTTTAGAATTCATCTTTTTATTTTTAAATAATATTTGTATTTATATGAGCCTTCCTTAGTAATACAAAGATTTGCGTTTTATATATCTTTTATCATAATTTTAATTAAAATTAGAGTTTATTTAAATCATTTATTGAATAACTCATTTATAACTTGAATTTTCAAGTTAAAAAAAATCATATAATTGTCAAACAACTTTAACTTCTTTTTTTTAAAAAAAAGCCTAATAGGCTCTAGGAACCCTATAAATACTATTAGTATAAAAAAGTGTCCTCATGGACGGTATATCTCTAACTAATAAAAAGTGCCCTCCTAATTATGTTTTTTATATGGTTAAAACATAATACATATTTTATGCTTTTATTGAAAAATACCATTATAAATATCTAAACAAATTTATTTAAATTTTGTGAAAATTACTCGTACCGATTTTTCCCCTATGTACCAGTACTAAGATAAGTTGTTAAATATCAATTGGATGCAAGTAATATTTGAAAAACAAAAATACACTTCCAAACATTTCTTGTGAAACCAGAGCTGGCAAAATGGGCCGAGCCCGCCCCACCCGCCAAACGGGGCGGGGTGGGCTGAGTTTTCTAAACTCGCTGCCCGCCAAGTCTGCCAACCCGCCTGGGCTGATTTTTTTTTTTTTTAATTTTTAGTGTAAAATGTGACCGGCTTGGCGGGCAGCCCGCCCCGCCCGCCCAAACGGGGCGGGCTAAGATATCTAGCCCACCTTCAATGGCGGAGCGGGTCAGCCCGCTTTTTGGCGGGCTAGGGCGGGGCGGAGCGGGCAGCCCGCTTTGCCACCTCCAGAAACCAGTAAAGATAAGATATACATTGTTTTTTTTTTTTTTTCATTTTCAGGGTTCAAACTCCATTTTTAGATTCAAACTCCTTACCAATGGTTATTGATTGAATGAGAGTATTCTAACAACCAGCTGTGATAGTTACATTGCTTTGACAATTATTAGGCCACCATGTCACCCGAAATGGTCAAACCTCAAACGATATGATTACTACAACAGTATTCCATAAACTTAGCCTAACAGTTTTCACATAATCCAAGCCCGAGAGCATTAAAGAGCAACTGTTAACTAACAATTGACATCTTAATGCACTTAAAAGTAAGAACGGGTCAAATAGACTCGGTCAAAGGTCGTCTTCCTGACCCATACCCCAGTTATATTAATCTGTTCTTAATTGAGAAGTCTTGATTGACTCAATTTCATGGATAAAGGACTTTGTCAATTTTGTCACGTAGCCTGAATGCAAATGTTGCTTTATGACGCAAGGCATAGATGGGTATACCGCTGACAAGAAGTATTAGCATTGCAGGGAGGAAGGTGGAAAGGAAAGATAGCTACAAAACAAGATCAAGGTCTTCAAGAACACAAATGAATCCTCAAAAAAGTACCGAAACTCAGGTGACTAGTTCTCATGCAAACTGAAAATTATAAGAAGCCAGCATGTTCAGGCACTCCACATAATGCAACTACCACAGCTGTTTCAATAATAAAGATTCAAGGATTCATCCATGAACTAAACAGCGTCGATGCGTCTAGTATCTAAACTGATAGCTTTCTTGTCAGAATATCCTCTAAAGAAAGAAAGACTAGTGAAGGGAAATTCAGTCAATCTAAGTTGGTCCTTCCCAAAAGCCATCCCAATAGACCTGGCACTTATAAACGGTGCCTTCAATGCGAATATATACATATAATTATAATATCCAGCTCCTATATGTCTAGTCAAGTTGAAGAACTTAAATATCTAACTCGTACATGCCATCAAAGATTGAATAGAAATCATTAATCCATTAGAAATCAACAGCCAACAACATTGAAACGCCAATTAAGTCAAAACACATAAAAGAGTCTTAACATCTCTTGTGCATGTCCCCATCACTGCTACAACATGCCACCAAATCAAGAGTTAACCCTGTTTATTTGGAAATTGCATCTCTTGAGTTTGCTTTTCTCCCAATGAATGTCAATTTGTCGAATCTAACATCTTCAGTGATCACTCACCAACAGGTGCTTGGTTTCCCAAACTCGTTGGAACTATTTTACATATGGGCATGTTTTCATTCTTACTCAGAAGCTTCAAGGATGGATGAACCTCGATATCACGCAAGAATACCCTATCTTCAATATCTAGATTGCTCACATCCACCTCAATTTTTGAAGGAATGTGCTCAGATGGACAAAGATATTTTAGATTAGTTCTGATCTTATTTAAAATTCCCCCTGTAGTGGCATAAAAAGTTTAAACCATATTAGCATTAGAACCACATTAAATTTCCACTTTGATATTAAATTTGAAAACTGTTTCAATGACCACGCCTTGGAAAGACTGCAATAAAGTTAGGTCAATTGACTTATATTCGTGTCATCTTCAAATATCAAGATTCAGAATTCATGCCATATGCTCTGGATATATATATATATATATATATATAGGCACGTTTCAGCAAAGCATAAAATGTTAGTCAATTGACCTAACTTAACAGCAGTCTTCCCAAGGCATAACAAGCAAAAATCATTAGACCATTGAAAGTTGGAACGCTGCATACTCATCTTCAATATATAGTTATATACAGAATATAAAAAACTAAACAAAATGTTGTTATTGATAACCATTTTGCTTAGTTACTAATTTTTCTCAAGTTATTTTACTTGTTTTTTAAAGTGAAATTACTTATCCAGGATTTCTTCAGTTTTTCATAGCTCTCTGGAAAGACTGACCATTCATAAAAGTAGCAATACATGCTGATTAAAACAGTGTACTTAACCTATAGCTGTTACATAGCCTCTGTGCAATACATGTGATACTATTACTTTTCTCAGCCCGCCACAGGCTAAACAGAAGAGTAAGAGAACAAAGAAGAAAAAAATGTAAGAAAAAATATACACATTGCATAGGACATCAATATTTTAATTGCCAATAATTTGAGAGAACGATCTTCAATTAAGCAATAAATACAATTAGCAATAAATATTTGCCTAGTAATAATGGGAAGATAATAGAAGCAATGAAAGCCAAGCTACAGGATAATCCCAGGAAAAAGACATTTCCTATAATTTTAAAAACTAAAAAGCATAACAAACGAGCATCATGCATGGTTATAGATGTCAGAATTATTAAGCAATCTGTAACCAGATGTATCTATCTTGCCCATATTTTTACTTGGGGGTGGGCAAACACAAAGTTCTTTAAAGTGCCTTAAACATGTGAAGTTAAATAGTTGAAGCATGCATTTTGACTTTCTTGATGGAAAAAATCCAAAAAAATCCCTGCTTTTCTTTTTTCTTTTGTTGATATGCCCAATTTTAGGATAAAAGGTTACAGAATTTTGAAATTACCAAAGCAATCTCTTTGTTCTTTTGTTTATTGCATAATAATTTTTGTATTAGCAATTTATCGGATGATTCCATGATTATGAGCACCAAACTTGCAGCTATAGTATCTAGATTAGAAACCATTAGTTACAAATGAGAAACTATAAACAGAAGTATGAATTCACATTGACAAACAATTCCATATTTGACATAAAAATTTCCAATCAGCTAACAAAGGAGTATAGACAAAAGCTCTGTCTGAGAAAATTCAGAGGAAGGAAATATGATAGAATAGAAGAGCCTGTCCATCAATATGTAAGATACCGTCAACATCTTGGACAAGCAGGTTTTAAATGTCAAAATCATGTGAATGATGGATACTAAAGAACTATACATCTCTACATTCTTTGGCATCCTTACATATTTCTATTTATCCTTTATTGTCACATCAAATGAAACAAGAAAATCTTGAATATTGAGTATGTGATAGCAAAATTTGATAGCAAAGTATCTTTCCATGAATTATTTCATTCTTGCTGAAAAAGGCTCATCAAAGGTGTCTGCGTCCTCCATTGGTGATGCCACTCTACTTACGTGCTCTATTGAGAGATAGAGAACAAAAAAAGGGGACGGACGACAACATCAAAGGAGACACACCTTAACAATTTCACAAGGGTAAATGACAAAAAACCAAATAATACAGTAAAACCATAGTCTCTCTAATGTAGAATGAAGAAGCATATTTGAGGTTTATTTATTTATTATATTATTTAGTGACTATTATGTTATTCTTAAAAAAAAAAAAATCCTCTTATTTAAAAGTTCTTTCATTTTTTATTTTATATCTTCAATAAGTTACATGTTCTTAGAAAAACATTATCATGATAAGAATTACTATTTTGATTCAATTAAAATTTTATATTCAATAAGGATTAATCCAAGATTTCAATTATCAGTGCGTTATAAACACCTTTTAGATACCTTAAGGGGGGTGTATTGGATTAGAATTTTAAAAGACTTTTTTGAGATAAAAAATCCTACAGATTTTAAAAGACATTTTAGAATTGGAGAGACTTTATAGACTTTTTTTACAATCAAGATTTCATAGGATTGAATTTTAAAGGATTTTAATAGAATTCATAAGATTTGAAAGGACAATATGGATTTATAAGATTTTAAAAAACTATATGAATTTTTAATAAATATTCAAAATTACAAGAGTCAATAAAAACAAATAACAAAGAAATGCAATGATATTAATAATAAAAAAAGTAAACTTGATTACCAAAAAAAAAGAAAGTAAACTTAACAATTGGGTTGAAAATTATCTCAAAAATTACTAAGCAACAACTTTCCACATATCAATAAAATCTGATATAATTTTCTCAATAAGTTTGAGTTTGATTTGCGAAAATAATAACCATATATCAACGGTTAACTTCCAAATTAAATATTAATTAATGAGTTTGATTTGAGAAAATAATAACCATTGATTGACGAAAATCAACAGTTAAGATAGGGTTGTAAAAGGTCATAAACAAATATAGGTTGTAAGTATAATATTTTCCATAAAAAAATAACAAAGAAATGCAATGAAATTAATAAAAAAAAAAAAAACCTAATATAATTTTCTCAATAAGTAAAACATAATATAATTTTTAACAAACATTCAAAATTACTAAACAACAGCTTTTTCACATATTGAATGGATTGAAAATTATCTTCTTCATTTGGTATCAAAGTTATGCATATATGATTATAAGACCTAATTTTTTTAATTATAAAAATAATTCTAAATTTACATATAGAACCTAAAGTTCATGATAAAATTTCGTTTGGAATTTTTTGCAATTGATCTTGAAAACCTTGGGGTTTTTGTTTTACGTGATAAAAGTTTTCTAACCATATATCATATGCATATTTTTATTGAATATTCTAAGAAAATTTTGAATCTGAAATTTTGGATTTAATTACATGAAAGTTTAGAAAAATCACATGTTTTTGTGCCAAGAAAAACCGCGACCCATATATTGAAAAATCACTCTTTAAACTTCCAAAATTTCTCAAAAATGGCTCAAAAATATGTTATTTTTGAGATAGATTATATCAAAATCTCGTTGGTTTGTTGTGTTTGGATTGTTTTGTGATGAAAATCGCTCAAAAATATGCTTTTTTTTTTAGTTTTGATGAAACTCCCATGACTGAACCCAATTTCGAGTAGTCAACCTGCCAAAGAAATAAGAAAACACAGCAATAGAAGAATCTCAATAAATCCTAGGAATTAGGGTGAGATTATGAGAGAAGCATCCTATTTATATTTTTCACTAAAAAGTCTCACGAAATCCACACCAATAGAAAATCCATTAAAATCGTCAGATTTTTGAATACCACGAGATTGTGATTCCATTCTTTAAAATCCTGATTCAATACCAACGGATTTGGACGAATTCTAAAATAATCCTTTAAAATCCTAATCGAATACCACGTGACTTTTTTTCAATCAATTAAAATCCTAATCGAATACCAACGAAATTTTTTGTCCAAAAACAATCCATTAAAATCCTGTGAAATCTCAATCCAATACACCCCTGATTATTCAAATCTTTTATTCTATAATTTGTCCTAGTCCTCAAGGTTTATTGTTATAGTCAGAAGAAAACACTAAGCTTATCGTTTTACACCCTCAAGGGTTTTTGCTATGAAATCTGAAATAACATCGATAAGGCATAAAAATAATTAGTATGGATAATTAGAAAGCTCCACATAAGGACCATGTCTTTCATGCATTGCATATTTCATTCTCTCCTAAACCCTAAAACCATCAAATGAAGCCTAAATCACAAATTACAGAACCCTCCACATCAATTAAATCAAAGGAATTACCTTTCTGGAGACCAGGACAAGCATCTTCCCCTTTGAAAACAACAGGCACATGTACCTTCAATTCCATCCCGTCTTCAGCCCAAACAAACACCATATTCAGAATGTTCCCACTCTCTTTGTCCCTATGAATCTACATAACAGATAAACAAAACCAAAAATCACAATTCAGAATTAAAAATAAAAATAAAAAAAGAATAGGAAGAAGAAGAAGAAGAAGAAGTAAACCTTAATAGGTAGCACAGATCCGGATTCGAGCAAATGAGAGGATCCGGATCCGGCACGGATCTGGAGCGCAAAACGAGTGGAGCAGAAGAAAGAATCATCGACGGAGTTGAGTATGGCCTTAATCTGCTTCTTCTCGACGGTGAGCAAATGCTTCTTCGACGCCGATCGGTCGCCGGAGTTTTTTTCCAGAAGTTTCTGGAAGAAAACGACGGCCGGTATTCGACCTTGCATTCTGTCCCTCGCCGAGACTCTGCTGCCACTGCACTCTCTTGGGATGGCTTGAATCGTGTGGTAATGACTACGCCAGCATCCTGATATGAATGACGAAGACTCCCAACGGCTCACCGCCACCGTTCGGAGGTTGCCCGCGGCGGAGCGCCACCACTGCACCATGATTAATTTGTCTGTCCCTCCCTACAATGCAAAATGGGGTTTTGAGATTAGGGGTTTTAGGTTCCGGGCCTATTTTGGTTTCCTCTTTTTGGGCTTCTTCTAACTGAAATGGGCCTGTTCTGGGCCTGAGCCTCACTTGGGACCTCAACAATAGAAGTTGTATAAACAACTATAGGCAACTTGTCTGTTTCTCTTTAGTTGCATTAACAACAATCTAAGTTGAAAGCTTAATTGTTGGCTATCATATGTATGCATTTATTTGCACTTTTGAACTCTAGAAGGATGAAAAATCATATCATTTTGGATATTGAATCTCAAAGTTCTTTCTTTACTTTTAATTACATTGACTCTCACAGTTCTAATTCTTAATGTTTTCTTTTCTTTCTTTTTTTAATATTTTTTTATCAAGTCAGAATTATTTTATATCGTGTAAGTTACATTCTTAATTTTGATTTTTGATTTTATTTATATCAAACGTTTCTGATTTATTAAATATATAAATTATTAAATAAAAGCAAATCAATAATAAAATTTGGTATACTAATAATATTAATATGCCCTTTTTTAACTCACACCTGCAACCCATGTAGCTTTCAAGCCATCGATGATGCTTCATCATTTACCTATGACACAATTTTGAGCCATCACTCTCTTGACTCTTGTATAATATTTCATGTGCATCCACTCGATTTGAGTCGTAGGCTACAAGCATAGTATAACCCAATCTCAAATTTCAAAATGGGTCCATAATCTTTACCCGTCAATAAAAATCTCAAAATATATTTTCTAATGTAATTTACATTGAACGTTTTAAAAAATTTACCTCTTCATTTAATTATCGTTAGAAAAAAAAAATTATGTATGGTCTAATCTAAGTAGTACTTATCGGGTAGTTCTACGGAAAAGGTAGAACTCTCAATGCAACTAACTTATAATTGATTAAATTCATTTTCGAATTAACTTTGTTAGTTTAATTGTTGAGTGATAAAGGTGTGAATATCAAATACAAATACTGTAATTAGAAAGAAAAAAAACTAATATCTCATAAATTTTTCTCATTTCGTAAGATTTTTGTTATCAATTTGAAAGTGGAAATTTTAAAGAGAAGTAAAGTTTCCAAGAAGAGGAGTGTTTGTAACGTGAGATGCATATTGATATTCGTGCTAATGCTCAAATCTATAAAAGAGTAAATATATTTTTCGGTCTTCAGCAAATTTTACGATGTCTGCTGTAGTCCCTAGCAAATAAAAAGGTTATTCGTGGTCCCTAAAAAATTCAAAGTGGACCCATTTTAATCTTTTTGAGGGACTAATGTGGGTCTTTTTAAATTTAGGAGGGATCACGATTTCAACTAAATGGGTCAATTTTGAATTTCTTAGGAATCACGAATAATCTTTTTTTTTTGCTAGGGACTAAAGCGGGGATCGTAAAATTTGCTGAGGATCAAAAAAGATATTTACTCTCTATAAAACCTTTACTTCTTTAAGAATTTTGTTGGTTTTACCAAAAGCTTTAATAAAACAATGACAGGCGAGTTACTCAAAGAGTGTGAATACGCATACTAATTATGAAAACTGTTTTATTTTAATATAAGAGAGGTTTGGTGAGAAACTATATTATTATTTCTGTGCATGCTAATATCGCACATTTGTATAAGATTTTATATAAACAACTATCACAGTACGTTCCAAAAAAAAAAAAAACATATAAATGATAAAAATGTTACTTTATTAGCCTTGCATCAAAATTCATATATAGTCTTTAATAATATGGTGGCATTGAAGAATTTAAAATTTGGACAAAGAGAATGAAAAGGAAAAACAACTTTACCAGGTCTAATTCTACGGCACACGATCCCTGCAGGTAGGGAAAATCACAATACCAACAAGATAGCTAAAGTTTCTATTTTTGATGATGCCAAAAGAGCAGGGTGAATGAGGACAATGGGTGATTGAGTGGGGTATTGCATTGGTTTTGCTGGCTCAGACGCAGAAGCAGACAACACGCTGCGAAGAGCAAACTAATCCAGGGGACGTTAACGATGCCATCAGAATATTCATGTCACCTGTTTAATAGTTAATAAAGAAAATAAAGTTTACTTTGAATTCATTCCACCATATCAAATCCATACACGTTTCTAGGGGTGTACGCGCGGTTTTGGAAGCAAAAATTATCCGATCCAATTTCTTCGGTTTGATCATGTAACCATCCATTCGGTTTGGAATTTTTTTCAAATCCGATCCGATCCAATCCAATTTTTTTCGGTTTGGATTGGATTGGATCGGTTTTCGGTTTTTTGAAAATCCTAAAATTTGTTTCAAGATTATTGTGCAAATAACGTCTTTTGTATGTATTGACTCTACACAAATGAGATATAAAGCTCTCCACACATAAAATTTTGTTAATGAGATGTGACTAAGTTTTTTTTTTAGTTTAGTTGATGGGTTAAAGGATCTTGGGTTTAGAAATTTTTGGGCTATGATTAGGGAAAGACCCAAGTAGGTAGAGAGAAATTAATATATTGGATCGATTTTCGTCAATCAATCCGAAAACCGATCCAATCCAATTAAAATTTGCAGTTTTTTTTCGATTTTTGATTTTTCGATTTTCGGTTTATTCGGTTTTCGATTTTTTGGTTCAGTTACCACGGTGTGGATCAGTTTGGATCGGTTGATGAACACCCCTACACATTCCCAAATGTCTTAATTTGAAGTTGACATCGACGAAAAGCTTTCGTTATTCACACACATTTAATATGTTTATTATTCTTTTAATTGTTTTTAGTATAGTTAATTTGTAAATTATTTCGTTAATTTTTCAATTAATGTAAAAAAAAATACTTTTTAAATATCCTATAGATAAGTGATAAGATCGTTCATATGTATAAGATGATAACTATTGTTAAAGTGACAACTTATTTTATATATATCTATAAGGGTCCGTTTTGTCTGTAACGACGGCATATTTTTCTCTGATGCAGCAGATACAAAAAAGTGGAATTTATTTATTTATTTATTTTTAAAAAAAGTCAAGATCCGCTAACGTATTCTGGAAAAGATATGTCGGCTGCACAAAAATCCTTTGTCCAGCAACAGGATATATATATATATATATATATATATATATATATATATATATATATATAAAAAATGGATTTAATAGTTCGTTAAATAGCTAGCCACATATTTAAGTTAATTTAACCAACTACCAAATTTTTTTTAACTAATGCTAATTGTTCGATCTCATAGTCTTCTTAAGTTTTGAATTGATTCACAAAATTGGTGGTTGGCAGTGTTACCTGACGATTAGGGATGACTGTGTCAGTAACGACAGTGACAAATGGCTGGTGTTGGTGGGTGAGTAAAATGGTTAGTCAATTGCGGAGGTGGAATAAATCTTTGGTGCTACTGTTGCACCAAGATTCAGTGTATCCCACCAATGGAAGTATTACACATTATAGGAGTGAGAAAAAATTTGACAAAGAAAAGAAAACTTTAGTTGACATGTAATATTTCTATTGGTAGGATATACTGAATCTTTGGTGCAACAGTAGCACCAAAAATTTATTTGCGAAGGTGGTAGCTACAATGGTTGTAGGTGGTGACTAGCCTGTGGTGGGGGTTGGCTTTCACGTTCGCAACGAAGTTTCTAAATGCCTATTTGGCATTTCTTATTTTTAACTTCTCTTTTCCTTAAAAGTATAAGCTAAACCAAAAATAATTTTATAAAAACTTTTATTTTAAAAAGAGTTTTTCTTGTAATGAAAAAAAAGCTAAAAGCTAAGTGTATGTTTGGATTCTCTTTTTTTTAGCTTCTATTCTCCTTATAAGCAGAAGCTAAGCCAAACGGGTTTTTACGAAAGCTCTTACAATAAAAAAAGCTTTTTTTACAATGAAGAAAAAGCCAAAAGTTTAAAGCTCATAGGAGGAGCTTTTTTTAAACTCTTATAAACTTTTCTTGAAATGAGGTTTGAGCTTTTAAGTCAAAAAATTTATGTAATTACCAAACAACTTTTAATTTTTTTTCTTAAGCTCTTTTTTTTTAGCTTTAACTTAAAAGTAGCTTTTAGCTAAAAAAAGAGAAGATCCAAACAGGCTCTCGCAGCATAAGCTTTTTTTAAGATGTATGTCAGCCTTTTGGAGTTCTCATATTTATTTTACAGTTTTACCCTTATTACAAACTTGTATTTATAAATTTTATTATTTACCCTAATAATCCATCCTAATAACAAATTATTTGATCTTATCTTATTCAAAACCCTCAAAAACAAATTATTTTTTTTGTAACAAACCCTCATAATAGCTTTATATAATCACCAAATAACTTTTAACTTTATTTTTTAACTTTAGCTTAAAAAAAATATGTTCCAAACAGGCTCTAAGAGAAGAATATCCTATCGTGTACAATCCTAACCTAAGATACCTTGATATACTGTGAGTAAGATAAAATGAGAAAATAAGATAAGTTTATTATATCTTGTCGGCTCACCAAAAAAAGAATAAAAAAAGGACATAATAGTTTATTCTATCCTACCTTCTCCATCTAAACAGCCAAATGAACCTTTAACCTTTTTTTGGTTGTTTCCCCATCTTTGTTCCCCCTTTTTGGAGCTACGATTACGTTGTTTCCAGTTGATCTGAATTGTTATGCCACAACACTTATGGTCTTACAACTCTGAGTGGTACTACAACTTTGCCTTGGTTTCCCTCTTCGTTGAGACTAAGTTGATTGCTATAGTGTTGCATGGTTCTTCATTGGTGTTGCTCTGCATCTGAGTCATTTGAGTTGTTATGTTCTGTTAGTCAAACGTTTACTGTATAGGTATAACATAACATAACATTCTTATAATTCTCATACATACATAGTATTCTCATAAGTCTCATAATATACATACATATCTCGTAACCAAGGAACCCGTGGAGGTCATTTACCATACCCATGTTTGGTCCCTCTCTGGTGTGGTCCCTTCAAGAGATCCTGTGTCTCCTAGGTTGCTACCCTTATGGAGGACATAAAAATGTACCCATGGAAAGGCCACACATACTA